GAGCCTGCAGTGCCCTGTGGGGCTGAGACCTGGGGCCCAGGATGCTGCAGTAGCATCACTTCCTGACACTCCCAGCAGGGCAGCTTCTGAGATGGGCCTTGTGGGAGGGCCCATGTGACCCAATGTGATGAGCAAAATGCCTTGACCTCCACATCAGGGTTGAACCGACAAACAGAACCAGTAGGAGACCTACACTGAGTAGCACATTAAGAGATTTTCTGCAAGAACTTGGTTCACGGGATTGTGGAATTTTTTCTTCTTCCTCCAGGAATCCTCAACTCTATTTTTAAGGTCTTTCAACAGATTAAGTCAGGCTCACCCAAATTACCTAGAATCACCTCTCTTACTGAAAGTCAACTCATCATGGACTTTAGTCGGGTCTATCAGATATTTTCACGGCAACCCTGAGGTCAGTGTTTGACTGAGGCGAGGCCATGGACGGATCAGTCTCACCCTTACATTCTCCTCCCAAGGAATGACTGCAGCACCAGGGGTCACACTTGGGCTTTGATGCCTTGCTGCCCTGGGGCTTCTTCCTCTGCCACCTGCAGTGACTATTCTGGATAGCACAATTTTCTTTTCCTCCTGAAAATCTGTAAGAATCTGAAAACTTCTGAAAAGTAAATCTTCCCAGAATTGCAATCTTCTAACAATGCCACCTTTCTAACATAGCCTGCGGGCTGCCCTGTTCCTGCATACTCAGGCTGTCCTGGTCACGGTCCCTGTTCAGCTACTGACCAAAGACCTCAGTGTGGTCTTAATTACACGCTAGCTCATTCTCACAACCCTCGGTGATTGCTCTGCTCATCAACAAAGTATATGTAGCTTCCATGGACAGCTTAGAAGCCTTCTCCATTAAGGAGTTAGGGGAAAAGTTATTTTTTTAAGAGACAGAGTCTCACTCTGTCAAATGAGCCCAAAGCATGACTTGGCAATAATTATTATTAAGCAGGTTGAGCTTCCTAATCTCAAATGCCCTCAAATCTAAAACTTTTTGAGTGCCTAAATGATGCTGCCACAAGTAGAAAATTCTACACATGACCTTCTGTGATGAGTTGCAGTCAAAACTTTGTTTCATGCACAAAATTAATAAAATATTCTACAAAGTTACCCTCATACTATGTGTATTAGGCCCAAGTGCAATGTGCACAACACCCCATTTTGAAGATAACAAAACTGAGATACACCAAGGCCATAGTTTAGAAGTGCGAGGGGCAGGTTTGAACCCAGGCACTCTGGGCCAGCATCCAGGCTCTTAATCATAGTAGTGAAAGCACTGGAAACTTGACATATTTTAATGTTTGAATCTTTGATGCCTTATCTAGGATGACAGCTTATGGTGACCCTTAATTGTTTTGCATAATCAGGAGTCTTGCTACCCATAAGTGAAAAGCCACTGAGATCATTTGGCATTGGCTCCATTGGCAAAGAAATTGGTTCTAAGAAGTACTGGGACACAGCTTCCAGGCAGGGTCTTCCAAAGGGGCTGTGGATATTGCAGGGAACCTAATCACCATAGCAGCCAGACCCCTGAGGGGACCGTTGGGTTGGGGACAGCATTCTCTGCCCTTTGTGGCTGGAACTGTCTCCAAAGTGTAAGAGCCATTTCACCAGCTGCACCTGCTGGCAGCACTGGGCAGAGAGGTCCACCTGCAGCCCCCATTACCTTCTGATGGATGTCAGGACTCACAGCTTTAGCAGTCTCAGGTATTCTTTCCTCTTCCACTGCAGAGGAAAGGAACACCCAAAAGGAATATATGATTAATGGCAAACCTAAAGTACCTGCAGTTCCTTAATAATTGCTTTTTTAAAAAAAAAATTTTATAGCCACCTTCAGAATGTAGTTGGATTCAGGCAGTTTGGAAAGAATTTCTGGTGAGTCAAGACAAAAAAGGTATTTATGTACAGATGGTCACACCTGTGCCCTTACATCAGGTCACTGTGTTTTTCCATGGCTTGCAGGAATGCTAAAATATCAGATATCTGCTAGAGTGTGCTGCATTTTCTACCTTGTGACATAAAGTCTCTGCTAGGATTCCTAGCATAAAGAGGAAGAGGAGAGAGATCAGAAAATTATTACACCTCTTCAGCTGGGAGGCAAAATATGCTTATGGTTTAGGGGAAATACAGCAAGGCAGTGCTGCCCAAGGAGTCCCCTGGGGTCTCTTTAAAATGCAGATGCTGATTCTATAGGTCTGGGTGGGGCCTGAGATGCAGCCCCATTTGCTGCTGACACTGCGAGTTCCAGGAGAATGTTTCTAGGAGCAACGACTTAGGGGTCCACGCAGACCACTTACATATGGAAGAGGAGGGAGAGAACCTTTAGAAGAAAAACTCTGACAGTTAAGTAATTGTCATCTTGACAGTCACACTTATAAATGTGCCATCACAGCAACTCACTGCAACCCAGGGGGACTGCGGTCTGATTAGCATCCCCAGCCACTACGGCCGTTCTCTCCTCAGTCACGTCCAAGTAGACACTGGCCTGGGAAGTGGCCCCCTGTTCCTTTGTGTGATATCAGACATCCTGAAGGGGACTGAGGGGGAAGAAGTGGAGTTGCTGATATTTTCATCCTTCTTGTGTCACTAAATTAAAGACGAGTAGTGAAGAGAAAAACCACAAGCAATATGCAGTGTCTGCTGTACCAGCAAACTGTCGCCGTGCAGCCATCTTGCTATTTCCGCATTATCTCTCCGACTTTGTTTAAAGGTTACCTGGGTGCCCAAATGCTACATTTCCTTATCTGATATGAGCCTGTGCCAAGCTTCCACTAAACTTAACCGAGGCTAATATAGATTTCTGGTTGTCAAAGCAGTAAGTCAACTGCTTGTGCTTAATAAGTTAAAACTAAAATCTACAACTGTTAGTCTTTTCTTAAAAGAAAGACCCTATTTTCCTTGTTATTTTTAAGAGCAGAAATGCCAAATCTGGACCATGCTAAGGATCTTTTAAGTGAGCCCAGCCTAGGGTACTGAAAGGAACATCACAGCTGATAGCTGTTTAATCCAGTTTTCCTAATAGAGTGGTAAAGAGCTCTTTATAAGCAATATTCAGTGAGACCTGGTTTCTCTCTTACTCATCAATAGCCAGGATGATGATCTGTTTGTTTGTGGCCGAACAGGAATAGAAATTCTGATGGCATTATTATTTTTTCCAGCAGATGAGCTGGTGTAGGAATTGGCTGGCATGGTGCCCTCTCCTTGGTAGGGCTGACAATACCCTTGCAGCCAAGTGTAATTTATCTCTTCTGCCTCTAATCTGCTGCCCTTCTTGCTGCCTTGCGACCCCCTTCTGTGATCCCTAAACAGCCAGCAGATGAGCTGTCCCAGCCGATCTACGGAACAGTCTCCAGACACAAAGACGCGGACAGTGTTCTCTCCCAGGGTCTCCCTTTCTTTCGTCTTCCCTTCTCCTTCTTCCTCTCCTTCTTCCTGCTAAACTTTTTTTAAAAAGCAAGCAAGCTAATGGGCATACGTAAGCACAGAAGTAAAAAAATCATAGGAAATCAAGAGGAGGGGATGGGGGCAAGAGAGGTGTAAAAACCTACCTAATAGATACAGTGATCACTATTTGGTTGATGAGCCCGCTTACAACCCTAACTGAAGCATTATAAAGACTATCCATGTAACAAAAACATTTGTATCCCCTTAATATTTTGAAATAAGCATTTAATTTAATTTAACAAGCAAGAAAGCTTTAGGGAAAACTGCATATTGTAGAGTAGCAAATAAACTTACTTGTCCTATGGGGGAAAATAGGTAAAACCTAGCTGCATTTTTCTAGTACAAAGGCTCTTTATTACGGGATTCATGGGGTAGGTCTCTGTCAGTTGTCACTTGGGTGCCACAGGTTAAAGTTTTGTGACTGTCTTTTTGACTTAGTGTCAAATGAAGAGAAAAGGTTCTTGCAAACGGAAGAGACCGTGGTCTCCGTCCATTCAGTGGATATTTATTGAAGACAGGTTCTGTGTTTTTGTTTGGGAGCTGCGAGTCTGACTCAGACATAGCCCCTGCCTGGGGAGGTGTTTATCTAATAGGAACAGAGAAAGGGAGGCACACATTACAAGGGGTTACAGCATTCCATTATGGAGAAGGAGCTTTCTGGTTAGACCATTACTGTATGATTTGAGTCTGCTTTATTGTTTGTTTTTGTCTGGTTTAAATAGCTAAGCTGCTCAGTCTGTCTCAGTCTCATAATGTGAGTTAGTTGCCTGGAACTCAGAGTCCTCCAGGAGTACTGGAGTCAGCCAGAAAAGATGGGTGGTACAGGTGGGTGGGACACAAGCCCGGTGTCCTATACAAATCTTGAGCAAGTCCCCAAGTATAGTGTCACAGGCAGGAAGGAATGGCAACAGAAATGAGGATGGACATGAGAGGAACGTGCTAGATGGCAAGTTTGGTGACATCTGGAGAACAGAGGAAGTGGGAACATTGGGTAGTGCAAAAACTCTATGCCTATAAGAAACAGCATTTCCAGCTGGGTGCCGTAGCTTGCAGCTATAATACTTGCACTCTGGGAGGCCAAGGTGGGTGGATTGTCTGAGCTCAGGAGTTCAAGACCAGCCTGAACAAGAGTGAGACCCCATCTCTAAAAGTAGCCAGACATTGTGGTGAGCACCCATAGTCCCAGCTACTCGGGAGGCTGAGATAGGAGGATCACTTGAGCCCAAGAGTTTGAGATTGCTATGAGCTATGACGCCATGGCACTCTACCCAGAGCAACAGGGTGAGACTCTGTCTCAAAAAAACAGAAACAGAAAAAAACAGCATTTCCTGGTTTCTAAGCATATAATGTCCTTTTGCCACTGACTTGTCCTGTGGCAATGACCAACAATCCTGCTTCCCAGCTGGGGAAATACCTCTCAGGGCCATTACAATGACAGCAAATGAAAACAATTCCTGTTTTGGTGGGTTGAGAAGTGTGCTGGCCTAGTGCACTCAGGGCTGCCGCAGGCCATCGGGCAGGGCACTCATCTCTTTCTTGTTGGTTTTGTATTCTAGGAATAGAGCTGTGTCCCCCTGGAAAACGGTTCACAATCACGATGGTGGCCAGCTTCGTGGCCATGGCCGGGCAATTCCTCATGCCTGGGCTGGCCGCCCTGTGCCGGGACTGGCAGGTGCTGCAGGCGCTCATCATCTGCCCCTTCCTGCTCATGCTGCTCTACTGGTCGTGAGTATCCTCTATGCACCTGCCCGGTGCTGTGTGCGCACACGACTTCCAAAGGCCAGCCCCAGGCCAGACAGGGGCCCCACCGTCCCCAAGCTTCCTACTCATTTCAACTTGTGTTTTTTTCTGAGGATGTTTTCCTCTCTTTTTAAAAATCACATCCTTTTAACTTTTATCTTGGAAAATATTGGAAAATACACAAAAGTAGACAGAAGAGTAGAATGAGCCCCCCGTGTGCCCTGCACCAGCTGTAGCCATCCTTTCCTGGTCAGTCTGGCTTCACATCTCACTCCACAGAGTTATTTTGATGTAAAATTTTATGAATGAATTGGGGGGGATGTCTTGTGTTGGGAGGGAGAAGTTTGGAGATGTTAAAGGATTTACAAAATCTCCCTTATCTCTTATAGGTGAGGAGTGGGAAAACTTTGGCCGTGGGCCAAATTTAGCCCACTGTCCACATAAATAAAGTTTTTTGGAGCACACCCACACTCGTACGCTGACACCTGTATAGCCTATGGAAGTTCTGCTGGTGCAGCGGTGGAGTTCAGCAGATGCAGTGGAGACAGTATGGCCCACAGAGCCGAAAATATTTAGTATCTGATCCTTCACAGAAAATCGTTTTCCCACCCTTGCTCGAGACTTTTAGGACCATGCATATATAACTTTAGGGTTTGACCTGGGCAACTGGAATTTTTAAACTCCCCAGGGAATTAATGTTCAGCTAAGGTTGAAAACTACAGCTCTTTGGAGAAAGAGGTTTATATTTTAAAAAATGATTATTTGACCCTTTTTACAAGTAACTCTTTTCTTTTCCTCTCCATCCACGCCCTCACTTTGCCCACAGTGTGATATCCTGCAGGGTGGGCTACACATGCTGCCCTGCATTGCTGTGACCTGGTTGATAATGGAAACCAGATTTCTGGCCCACACAGTCAGTCACGCCCTTGCTTTAAGGATTCACTGGAGCAGACCTTCCTTCTTGAAGGCTCCAGGGAAAGCAGAAAGCATCTGTGTTTTAGCTCCATAGTACTGACCCCACCCTGCCTTTGAGCAGATCGGCCCACAGAGAGATCACAGTGAGGGTGCAAGTGCATTTTCCTTAAGAGCCTGGTTCTTGCTTACTGTGTCCTGAGAACCCCAGCGGCAGCTGGGAGCTGCCAACAGCAGATGGGGAGAAGGCCACCTGCTGGGAAGGCCACCCTGCAGCCACAGCTGCCAGTGCTGAACTCCTCTGCCTCGTGCTCTAGCCTGCACCCAAGTCACCATCCACGTCCATCCCACAGCCCAGGACAACCTTCTCCCCCAACCGGGTCTTGAGAGGCAGAGAATGAGGTGGTCTCCCAGAGCAGGATGGAGTCGGCAGCTCTTTGCCTTTTATCTCTGAAGGAAGCCCGTCTGTCCCTCTCTTCTGTCACGTGTCTCTGGGCTTCACTTGTTTCCTAATTCAAAGGCACTGATTGATCTAACAAATGCTGGCTCTGTGCTTTCCTCTGTACCCAGCACAGATGGCAAGCACTTTACAAATAGTAAATGGTTCAGCCCTCAGATCGCATCAGAGGACAGAACTGCAGTGTCCTGCTGGTGTGGGTCAGAGCCTGGACCTAAAACCATCCATTCTCACCAAACTCCTGCCCCAGGCCCTTAGTTTCCACCTCAGCCCTGTCCACCCCCACTGCCCCTGGCCCCCACTATTCTCTGTCCAAGCTGGGAGAGGGGGTTAGAGTCCAGACGGGTGGGGAGACTGCCTCTCTCAGACTCACACTCCTGGACAGCAAACAAGACTGTTTACCTGACCCCCGGTTCTGCTCCCACCTGTCCCAGGTAGAAGGATACTTGGTGGGGAAGAAGTGGCAGGCACAGGCTTCTCAGAGTAGTTCTGGGTCTACAGGGGTGACTCTCACAGAAAAGAGTAAGAGTTTTCATTTAAGAGTGTTTTTTTTAGTTAAACTTTAGAAATATATTAAGGTTTAATGACAGGCAAGATTAGATGTTCATTATTTAAATACATCATAAAACCTTAAGAAAAATTCTTTGAAATACACAAATTTTAAGACAAAATTGTATGGTGCTTCATAAGGTACCCGGGGGACTTAAAGGAAGTATATGTGCATGTATGCAACATGTGTACACAAGGACGGTGGTCCCACAGCCCAGCCCCAGGTGCTTACAGCTCTAGGGTTCAGTCTGGGTAGAGCTGGCCCAACAACTGGCTGTGCCACCTCCCTCACAGCCTGCTTCACACTGCCCTGAGCCCTCCATTTCCTCATCTTTGTAAAAAGTGGGTCATGAGTTGTTCTGAAGACTGAAATAATGCAGGCAGAGGATATCACCAGGTGGGGATAGGGTCAGGGAGTTGAGTAGGGGGACCTGGGCACAGGGACTGGAATGCTGCTGCTTAATAGCTGTGTGACCATGGGCAAGTTACTTAACCGCTCTGAGTCATATGGTCAATAGTGGGATTAAAAGGAGTCAGTGAATATTATGAGAAGCACTTAGAATGGGGCCTGGCATTTAATATGTTATGTATATTAACTGCTATGATAATCATAATTATTTTCATATTTATATTATGATGCTTAGCACAGGTCTGGTCTATAACAAGTACTCATAAATATTAAATAGTAGCTACTACTATTATCATTATTACATAGGGTGACCACATTTTAATATTGGTAAAGCGGGACACCATTCATGGGGGGGGGGGAGGCTAACAACAATGCAAACTTTGATAAGCAGTTCTCGATAATCACTTCTCAACAATTATTTGTTATTATTATAGTTTAACATTATAAAAATTAACGAAAATAATATAAAACTCATATCCTGGCGAAATAGCCACATGGCATCCAAAAACCATATATTCCCTTACTGTTCTCCTGCCCGTTGGTGCATTCTTTCAAAAAATTGGGACTTTTTTAAAACACCGGGGGACGTGGGACAAATTGTTAAAAATCGGGACATCTGGTCACCCTATTATTACATCACCTGTTTGATATATACAGGACTCTGAGTATCATGGGGGCAAGTTAAAAAAATTGGTGGTAAGAAACATATTCCACTTTTGCCTACCAGCCTTGAAAGGCTCCACTAGAATTATTGGCTTTAAAAGCCAGTAATTGCCTACCCTTTTTTATCTTCTCCCTAATTTCCACACTTCCTCCCATCTGGTGCACTGTTGTTCAACAGGATGACGTGGCCTGCTGGGGCCAGGGGGTGAGCTGCAGCACCAGCCAGCATGACCGGCTGTTGGTGGCAAAATATTGAAAATTGCTCGCTTTCCTGTAATGAGCAAGTATTTATTGAATGCACTCAGGGTGCCCAGCAGCGTGCCCGTGCTCAGAGCACTGTAACTCTAAAGAGCAGACATGAAGCATGTGGGTTAACAAGGACTAGAAAACAAACTGCGTCAAGCAAAATTCTCAGAGGGCAAATTATTGGGTTAGAGTCAGTAAAGACAAAAATGGGGGGATTGACCAGAAAGGATCTTGTGACCAAAGTGGTGGACTAAATGGACTAAATGTGTGTGTATCCAACACACACAAATGCTGGATACAATGCAACATTCTTTTTAAATGCAATGCTGAGCCCTAGCACAAGAAAGGGATGCTCCCCAAGACTAGACCAAGGGAGAATTCCATCAGGAGCAGACACCAAGCTAACTCACAGGGCATCTGAACCAGAAAGAAGCCCAGGGAGCTTGGGTTTGAACACCTGCCCGGGGCGCTGGAGCTAAGCTCTCAAGTCTCTTATGCAATTAGAACTGAGCTCCTTGAATCAAGCCAGCTATCATAACTAACTGTGACAACAGGACTGTAAAATCTTTGCCTGCTAGAAGGACTCAGCCCAATACTGGCTGATTGCCTTGGACCAAGGGCAGAAAAAGATTCACCCTGGAGAAATCAGAGCCTGGAAATAGGCACCACACATGGCTGTACATTCCAAATTCCAACCGCTGCTGAGGATGAAAAGTGTAAGAACCAGTGAAACTCACTGAACTCCTCAGGGTCAAAAGTAGAACTTCCCATGCATGCATGTAAGACTCAGGCAGAAGAAAATTCTTGTTCAAAATGAGCTCGCAGGCAAAAATCACAGATCCATGGGAAAACATTATAAGGACCAAAAAGCATCCATCAGGGAATCTGTGTCTCAGGAACTACAGAAAATAGAGCAACCTGAAAGAGTGAATGGAGCTGATTGACTTTCCCCCACCCCAAGCCAGTGCTATTCTACATGCCGAGTGGTCTCGGCACCGCGCGTGTGCGTGAGCAAGCCCCTGCTTGCTTGAAAAATGCATTACGGGGCAGGTGGGGGCAGGAGGGAGCTCAGAGACAGCATTCCCATAAATAAACAAATATTACACTTTCATGGAATCAGCGCTGCAAAGAAGGGGAGGGAGTGGCCCCTCTGCGGAGGTGATAACCTGAGAACTAACACAAACTTTTGGGAGGAGAAGGTGGGAACAGCCAAGGCAAAAGCTGGCCTCCACTCTGCTCTTTCTGGAAAAGAAAGGAGAAAGCAAGTGTGGCTGGAGCATGGTGGACAGAGGTGAGGGAGGGTGACTCAGTAAGCTGGGGTTAGGGAGTCAGTTTCTGTGGTTTGAAGTAGAGGAATAATATGCTCCACATGTGCTCTGAGGGGATCTGTCTGTTGTGCAGAGAAGGGACAGAGTGTGGGTGAGGGTTGGGGCAGAGGCAGTCAGTACTTGATGGAAGGGCAGGGTGTCACCTACAGAATCTGATTTGAGAGACTCTTTGCAAGCAGTGCCAGTGAGACTTACTGCTGGATTCCGTGTGGCACATAAAGTTGACACAGGAAGTGGTGACGGGGATGGGGTCTGTCTCCTGCGATGGAGAGACCAGGGCTTTATGAGACATGCAGGCCCAAGAGGGGTAGAGCCTCAAGTCCTGTCCTGCCATCAGAGCGTGAAGGGCAGCAGGTGACCGGCTGAGGGAAAGCCTCAAGAAGAGCTTGAAGACTGGATCAAAGCCACAGCCTGTTTTAAG